CTCTGGTGCGACGCGGTGGCAAGAGGACCTCCGTTTGCGGGAAGGGCACGGAGGAGGGGGATTGGAGGATCGAGGCTCGAAGATCGAGGGAAATCGAGGATCGAGGAGGATATAGGATCGAGGGTCGGATGAACAGAAGGATCGGTGAATTCGGTCCTCCTGTTCATCGGATCCTCGATCCTGGAGCTGCCCCCCTCGATCCACAGATATCCTACAAGTTCGTCCGATCATCGAAGATCGGACGAACTTGTAGGATATCTCGTCCTCGGTCGTCATTCCTCGTCTCTCTCGATGGTCGGCCCTCGCTCATCTTATTTATCGGATCCTCGATCGTCTGTTACCCGAGCCACATCCTCGATCCTCGTCCTCGACCCCCCTCGTCTTCGATCCTCCTCTCATTCTGATCTTCGTTCACCTTCCCTCACTGCCCTCGACGCCCACTCATCGCCCACGCTCGGGGATCGAAGATCGGGGAATGGATGATTCCATCCGTGAGGATCCCGTCGTGGGCGGTGGAGTTCCAGTCCAGCGGCAACGACGACGACGACTACCCCGACAGGGGCCCGAGAGGCCACGAGGTGCAGGATTCGCCGTCCACGCCGGTGAGGAGGAAGCTCACCGTCAAGACGCCAGACAAGAAGGACGAGCTGCAGACGGCGCTGGACGAGGCGAACGACGAGACGGTGCTGCACGAGAAGCACGAGAGGCAGCACAACGGCCTGACGGTCATGGCGCAGAAGGGCGGTTGGAATCTCGGCTACGACGAGACCATGAAGGTCAGGAGCCCCGATCAAAGAGTGAGGAGGGGAGCGCAGAGGATGACCCATAGAGCGAGGAACGGGTACGCAGCGAAGAAAGGTGAGGGGAGGATGAAGAATTTGAACATCTTCATCCTCATCTCCTTTCCTCGCTCCATGCTCTATTCTCGCTCCATGGATCCTCCTCTGCACTCCCCTCCTCGATCTTTGATTTGGGCTCCAGCGAAGGCTGCGTACAGGTTCAAGACGGCCGACCAGAAGAAGAACGCCGCGTCCATCATGCCAGAGTACGCTGTGGGCCACCACGTGCCAGGAGTTCCTGAGCTGGTGGCAACGTGGCCAGACGGGCTGACCTGGAAGATCGAGGGGGTCTTCGCGCTCGAGTACGAGGACGAGAAGGCCAAGGGCTCGCAGGAGATCGACAGCGTCGAGGGGACAGACGGGAAGAAGTGGACCCTCACGTTCGTGAACCACGCGAAGAAGGGCAAGTGGCTGGCGATCTGGAGGCACAAGAACCCAGGCAAGGAGCAGAAGGTCCAGATGGTCGGGTACCAGCGGGAGTTGGACGCCAGGGATTTCATGAAGCAGCTCATGCATGACTTCGCCGCGCAGACAATTGACAAAGCCGAGGCGGAGGAGAGGAAGAAGCTCCACTTGAAGACGAACAAGGCGGAGTCCACGCAGGCCGCGGCTGTCATGAAGCGGCCAGCAGCTCAGGCGAGAGGTTGGAAACGCTGTGCTGTGCAAATCTGTGCGTGAGCAGCTGGCGTTGGAATCGGCTTGGAATTCATTAGGACTAGCGTTGGAATCACGATGGAATGCATTTGCACAATGTTTTAAATGACGGTCACACCGACGTGGATTTAATCCCAGGGCCGTTTTATGTTGGGGGATATGTTTGTTTCCGAAGTGGGGGGTCATAATTCTTAGATCTTATATGCTGTCGCTCGGGCCAGCTGCTCGCGCACAGAACCACACGCACGTTCCAACCATGGAGACTTCCGGTGGGCCATGCAAGCTCGAGACGGGGGCCATCAGCTACAAGGGCGAGGACGAGAAGGAGGACGAGGGCGAGGAGGAGAGCCAGAGCGAGGGCGAGGGCGAGGAGGAGACTCAGCACGGAGACGACAACGCTGAGACCTCCATGGACGAGCAGATCGAGACGCAGTTCGCGGCCGTCTCGAAGTTGAAGAAGCCGAAGGTTGCGACGCCGACGACTCCACCGCCGACACCTCCGACGCTGGCGATCGGGGCGTCGCCGAGCACACCAGATGAGCAGAAGCTCGCGGCACAGCAGGCCCCGACGGACAAGACGAAGATCGTGGAGAAGCGCCAGCGGGCCAGCAGCCCCAGCAAGCCAAAGAAGAAGATGAACCTCGCCGACAAGAACACCGACGCCAGCAGCAGCTTCTTGGACAAGAACTCGGCCATGATCCCCACGGGGCTGTTCGACAACATGTAGATCATCATCTACGACGCGGTTCTGAGGAACCACAGGGGAGCGGGCTACGCCCGATCTAAGTACATTAACTGTGTGAGGCGGGGTCGCCTCGCAGAAAAATGCGTTTTTGCGCTCCCCACCGTTCGTGTAAACAGAGTTTTGCAGATCTCAAACGATGGTTGAAACACATGGGCGTCAAGAACACTGAGCTGAGGGGATCGCTTGACAACAAAAAAAAACAAAACACGCGTTTGAGTGTGAGGGGTCCGTCTGGTTCAGTTTCGTGAAACCTTCCTCCTTCTCCTCCTCGTTCCTGTCTTCCGCCTCCTGGCCATTCTCCTGACCGTGATCCTCTTCACCATCTCGTTCGTCTTCCCTCTCCTCCTCCTCCTCCACCCACCTCGCCTGCTCCGCCCCCTCGATCGTGGCACCGACGAGCGCAGAAACGTATCGCCAGGGACCGCCACCTGAAACTGCATCGGCTCGAGACTGCGCGCGCTGGAGCGCATTGGGGCAAGAGTCCCTGGAGGACTCCTCTCGAACGGTCCTCTCCCTAGTCTAGGAAGCATGGAGGTCGCTGGAGGCGAGGCTATGACGCAGACTCTGGCCGAAGCTAGCCAGTCCCTCGAGCGGCCAAACGAGCATCAGAGTTACCCGATCATGCAGCACTCGTGCAACAGCGAGGACTTGATACCATGTGCACAGCCCTCGCGCTCACGGAGCCGGTCGCCCCCTGATGGTGCGCGTGAGGATCTTGAGGTTTCTGAGAGCCAGTTCAAGAAGGGCGAGGAGGCGGAGATCGCAGCAGCGAATGTGATCGAGGTCTCAGACTCTGCCCAGGACGCGGCCGACCCCACCGACGACTCCGACGACATGCAGCTCTCCAAGGTCATGGCCAAGTCGAAAGCGGAGGCGGAGCGCATTGCCATGGACGCGGGGAGGGACGAGGCGGCGCTCGCTGAAGGCCTGCGTGCATCTCAGGAAGACGCTCGCCGCAAGGGCATCAGGTCTCCGAGCCCAGAGCGCCCGCTGGGCCAAGCGCCAGGCCGAGCCAGCACCGACCTGTTCTACGAGGGCGCCCCCACGCAGGCAACGGGCCCCAAGGTCCCGAAGTTGTCCGAGGCGACGGGCGCGGTTGAGCAGCAGCAGCCCGTCGAGGACCCTCTGGCAAACAACACATTAAAGCGACCTCGACCCGAGTCGGTTAAGGGGGTGGTACTTAACACGAGAGATGAGAGCGAGGCCGTACATGTCCCCCCTTCTGCTGCTGCTGCTGCTCATGCTCCCTCTCTGGCCAACCTCGCCCAGAGGATCGGTCGGAGGAGGAGCTTGAGCCTGCCTCGTACATCCCTGTGGGAGACAATGAATCCCGCGAGTCCTACTGCGACTGCGGGAAAACAATCCCCCCCCCCTCCTCTGCTTGGGCATCCGTGCTGGCGCGTGAGCACCAAGAAAGATATGAAGCTCCGCGTCTCCATCCCGCTCCTTCGACGTAGAAGTAAGCTGCAAGCGTAGAGGTGGAAGAGCCCCGAGGAAGATGTAGGGAAATATGGCACATGGCAAACTTGAGTTAGGGATACGGGAAGACTGGTATACATACCATGCATGTATGCATCATTAAAAACAACGGTGGCACCTGGGTGCAGTAGAGTTGTGTTCTCCACCTCGAGCCAAGGAGTCTGGCGACAGGGGCGGGCTCATCACGCCGCCCAAGACGAAGAAGGCTGGCCAGATCAGCGCGGAGATCCTGCAGCAGGAGCTCGAGTCCTCAATCACGAAGCCAGGCACCATTTCCGAGGACGACGAGCTCAACTGGACGAAGAAGGTCGGTCAGATGTTCACCTCTGCAGCGCTCCAGACGATGCTGGAGTTCAAAGGGGCATCGCTCGCCCAGGCCAACAGCTGGCCCGACAACCCCTCCGAGTTCGGCCCAGACATGGAGGCGAAGCAGAAGCTCAAGAATATGCCGAAGCAGGTGCAGGATGAGTACGCATTCTGGTCCGACCTCGCCAAGAGGGGGTACAAAGTGCCGACTGACGGGAAAAAGTTTCCTCAGGAAGCGGGGCGGTGGCAACGAGCTGTGAAGAATCCTGAGGTCGGAGATGCATACAACATGGTGAAGGGCGACGCGGCCAAGGCGGAGTTCAGGAAGAGGTGGGCCGAGAAGGAGCACAAGAAGAAGCTCACGTCCTGGCAGTTGACCACCGAAGAGTCGAGGACCCATTGGCGCGACTCGCAGTACTTGCCGCTCGGGCGCATCGCCCACCTCGAGGGCGGCGGCAAGAGCGGTTGGCTTCAAGCACCTGGGCTGGAAACAAGAGTGACCACGTTTCAGATTATTTCGTTTTTTGTTGTGTTTGGAATCGGGGGATGCTCGAATTTCGCCACCTTTGGGCAGCAAGTAACGCGGTTGGGGGCACCGGCAAAAATAAAGAGCATGAAGTTTTCACCAGGTGTGAAGAGCCAGCCTTTTTACCGTGGCCCGACAGGGTTCGAAATACATGTTCCGCTGCATGTGCCTTGGCCCCCCCTGGGTCCTCTGGGACGACTGGACAGAGAGCGTCAGAGGCTTGTGCGTCACTTCAGGGCTCCGCGAGGTGTTCAAGACTTCCTGGACGGAGCACGTCGTGTGGACCGACGCTGAGGATCAGAAGACCACGCAGGCCGTCCAGGGCATCGCGCCTGCAGCTAGTCAGGAAGCTTCTGGCGGCGCTCGACGCGCGGCTGCAGATGAACGCGCAGCAGTACATGTTGAACAGGAGGCGACAACACCCTGAAACATAGACTTTGAATTCGGCTGACGTTTGACGTGTTCTAACACTTACAACAGCGGAGATGTTTCACTAAGAACGTTTGATCTCCAATTGCGATTCCAACGCGATTCCAATGCTACCACGAGGCAATTCCATTGCCATTCCAACGCGGTCCAACGCAGCTGGCTTGAGAGAAGCCACATTGGAACCGGCGTTGGAATCGCAATGGAATTGCAGTGTGGTCGCGTTGGAATCGCGTTGGAATCGCGTTGGAATCGCGTTGGAATCGCGTTGGAATCGCGTTGGAATCGCGAGCCCAGCAGGCAACCGCAGATACCACGCCGCGTTCGTCGCCTCGATCCGACAAGCAGCAGCAGCCCAAGAAGGAGAAGTCCCAGATTGAGATCAAGGCTGCGCAGGCGAAGAAGACGATCCAGTACTACAAGACGACGATTGCCGAGGCGGACACCCTTCTCACTGGTGTGACGACCGATACGTGGTGGCAGTGGGCCGCGGGCGGCAACGAAGTGAAGCAGATTCACGCAGGTGTTGAGGCAATCCAGAAGTTCATGGGCGTAGGGAACGTGAGGGCCACCGTGACGGAGAAGAATTGGTCGTTCTTGCAGAAGCGGATCGGCGACGAGAAATTTTTCGAGGCCGTGGTGAAGGTGTGCGAGATGAACCCGCTCGTCGACGCCCTCGACTCCGCCGTCAGGGACCTGATGGACTTCGCGAAGGTCAAGCGCGACAGGGAGGCGGCCCAGCAGGCTAAGAACCAGAAGGAGAAGGTCGAGGTCAAGGGTGCGCAGGCTGCCTCGAAGAAGAGGAAGCGCCCGACCAAGGGCTCGTAGGCAGGTGCAGCATTTCACACTTTTACACTCGGCCTGCCACCAGCCGAATGCCAGCAAGAGGGGGCTGGCAATAGATTTCGGTGGCAGAGCACGGGCGATGCCACAGTCACGAGATTATCTCAACATCATGTGCGCCGCGCTGGACCCAGCTCGAAACACGTTGGGAACCAAACAACAACAAGAAACATGAACACTTGGTTCCTGAAGCGCCCGTGCACATTTTAAAGCCTACAAACAAACAAAACACAAACACGACCAGCAAAAAACACAAAAAACAAAAAAAAAATGGAAAAAAAAAAAAAAAAAAAAAAAAAAAAAAAAAAAAAAAAAAAAAAAAAAAAAAAAAAAAAAAAAAAAAAAAAAAAAAAAAAAAAAAAAAAACACAACAAAACACAAAACACACCACAAACCACAAGACCACGTGCTCGGGAAGGCCCTGGGCTACCGTTGGAATGCCGTTGGAATCCCGTTGGAACCCTACCGTTGGAATGCCGTTGGAATGACGCCCGAACCATGTAAAAACACAGGGTTTGGTGACCGTTGGAATCTCAATCTAAACATTGGGGTACCGTTGGAATGCCGTTGGAATCCCGTTGGAGCCTACTGGCTGCAGTTTTTTGAGGCATCACCCATGGATTTCAAGATTTTCCCACTCCACAGGCTCTAGAAAACTGAGGTTCTGGTGGCATCGCCCTGTCGTTCCAGCAGTGCTTAGGTCTCGCCCGAGACCAGTGGGGAGTGCGCGCCATCAGTGCACTTGCGCCCGCCGCTCAGTCTGTTCAGAGCGCTCACTCGGAGGAGCGCGCACGCTGTCAACTCTGACTGGGGCAGGGTTCGAGAAGCAACAGAATGCGTGGATGGACGGAAGCAGTGGCAGGCGTTTTTTTCTTCGTTGGGTGCAGGTCTCACTGCGCGATGCTTGAAGTGTGCGATGCTATTCGCTACCAGGTGATTGAAAACGAGTAGGGGTGGATGTGCCGACCAGGCTAGATCGAGGCCAGGACGTACACAGTCTCAAACATACGCACGCAGACGCACACACACACAAACGCACGCGCTCACACACACACACACACACACACACACACACACACACACACACACACACACACACGCGCGCACAAACGCACGCACGCGCGCACACACACAAGACACATAACTATACATACACATATATGTGTAAAAAACATGTATACATACATACATAAATATATGCATAAATGCGTACATACGTACATACATACATACACACATACACACACACATACATGCATAAATACATACACACATACATACATACACCCATACATACTTACATACATACACACACACCTTCCTTACACGGGCCCGCACACTCGCATACGCACGCACATTGACAGTCACTGGCAGCATTGGCAACATACAACATACCCACGAC